TAAACTCACGATCCTCCTGCCTCAGCCCCTGGGGCAGCTGGGGTTACAGGCGTGCGTCACCGTGCCTAGCTTTTATGATTCTTAAAACACCTGCCGCTTCAAATATTACGAATAAAGCAAAGGTGAATCAAGGTCAGATGGAATTCGGCTTGTTCTTCAGCTGATCTTAAGATAGGAGAGGATTCTGGACTCCCCAGGTGGACGCTTCGGGAGAACTGGAGGGAGAGGGAGAGGGAAGGAAGGTTCTAGAAGAGTCACAGAGAGGCAATGGTGCGGCCTTTGAAGGTGGGAGAAGGTACCAGAAGGAGAACGGAGACCACTAGAAGCTGAGGAAGTCAAAAAAATGCTTTTCCCTGGAACTTCTAGAAAGGAAAGCAGCCTTGAGCTCCATGTGACCCAAGTCAGACCTCAGACGTGATCCAGTCTCCCTCTCCCTTCCCTACCCAGGCTTCTGAGCCCCAGAGCCTCTGCCCCAGCCGCCCACTGCAGTCCTGGCACCAACAGAAGACTCCCGTCCCCACTGCTGGCTGGTGCTGTGGTCAAAGGAACTGTGGTGGCACCAGAGGAAGCGCACGGAGGGGTGCACTATTCATGCTTGTGAGATACCTTTCTGACCCCATCAGTATTCAGTCCCTAACTGGCCCCCATGCCCAGGCCCTGATGTGATCACAAAGCAGATCAGAGCCCCAGGCACCTGTGGCCACGCCGGATTAGGTCCATTAACAAGGGTGAGGAAAACTGTAAAGTGTTGGTGGTTTATTGATGGCAGCTCTTGCCAAAGTAGGGCTCTGTTCCTCCCTCCCTGGGCCTCAGGGCACACCGGGCTTCCGTCTGCTCTCGAGGCCCCTGGGTGCTGGGAAAAGGCTGCCCATTTGAGGCTAAAAGGAGGACAGAAAAATCTCCACCTGAGCCAGTTTCTGCTCAGAGATTACAACGAGAAAAAAAAAAATCTGCATGGTGGACATTTATTTCAGTGGGGAGCTAACCCTTCTGTCTTTGGGCAGGCAGAAAGTCAACTGCAGCCCGGGGACCCTTGTGCACACATACGCACACTGGCCTGTGAGTACCCGCAATTAGATACCCATGCACACACGCATGCACACATGCTATGGAGATCTGCAACTCGGGTGCACACAGCACTATCCTGCTTTGCCATTTGGTCTGACATACCACCGGGAGGTTGGTTGAATGAAACATACTAATTCGGAAACTACCCCAGTTCTGGGGAAACAATTTTCAGATTAGTTTGTCTGCCCTGTCTTTGTTTGTGCTCAATTTAAAAATAAATAATAAAATAAAATATTTCTTTTCTTTTTTTTTTTTAGGAAACACTGCCCCTTTCACCAGGAAAATCAAATTCCAGGAGGTGTTTCACCAAAAAGAAGTAATGACGTAGCTGAGCCTGGTAGCACACACTTGTAATTTCCGAGACTGTGGAGGCTGGGGCAGGAGGTGCACAAGTTTGAGGCCAGCCTCAGCAACTTAGCAAGGCTCTGTTTGAAAATTTAAAAAAATTAAAAGGAGTGGGGATAGAGTTCAGTGATCAAGCTCCCCTGGGCTCAATCCCCAATATGAAAAAAAAGAGAGAGAGAGAGAGAAGAAGGAGAAGAGGAAAGAAGGAAGAGGAGAAGGATAAGAAAGAAGAAGAGAAAATATAATGACAGTTGTGGTCAGTTTATTGAGCATCTACTCTGGAGTAAAAGCTTTGAGGAGAGAATAACCAGACAGTCCAGGGCAATTGAGTCCCCCCCCCAAAATGTGTAAATGCAGCTGGGTGCAAACGCCTGTAATCCCAGCAGCTCAGGAGGCTGAGGCAGGAGGATGGCAAGTCTAAAGCCAGCCTCAGCAACTGAGTGAGGCCCTCAGCAACTCAGTGAGACCCTGTTTCTAAATAAAATACAAAATAGGGCTGGGGATGGGGCTCATGGGTCAAGTTCAACCCCTGGTACAAAAAAAAAAGTGTAAATGCAACTGGGGGAGCCTACCTCCAAGTTTATTAGCTATTAAAAGTGTGGGGTGTGCCCTACCCACCCGCCTCAACACCCAGGCCAGCTTCAGAGACCAGGTGCACCACTAGGGCCAGGATGCTCTCACCATGACTCTGCAGACACCCTAAAGGATAAAACAAAGGAAATCCACTCTCATTTCCCACCTTCCTGCCTTCTTACAGCTGCAGCAACCCATCCTGTCACAAGACAGAGGTGACATTTTTTACAGGGTGTGGCATTGACATGATAGAGGTAAGGTATGGCTGAGGATGTCAGTCAGGCCGACAGTCCCCACCCAGGTTGAAGGGTTCCCCCCCCAGGGAGAAAAACCCTTTCCAAAAGCATCTAAAGCCCATTATCAGCCCCAAACCCTGGCCCTCTGCTACCCACCTTCCACATATTCTCCAAAGGGAAAAAATATCATTCTTGAGTATCTCAAATTTTAAAAAGCATTAAAAAAAAAAAGCAACTAACAAGGACAACGAGATGACTTGCTGATAATAACAAACTTCTCCAAAGTGCAAAGCCCTCTGGGACACGGTGGTGTCCTCCCTTCCTCCCAGGGCTGTTGTGAGAATACCTGAGACCCAGAAGGAGGGACAGAGGCCCAGACCTGGAAACTTCATAGAGTCACGTGGTCAGCACAGCTCCCAGCTCCCACCGATGCCCGATGCCCGGATGAGCCTGAAGTGTTGGTGCATTCTTTCCTTATTCAGCAGATCTTTCCTGGGCACTTGCTGTTGCAGTGAACAAACCAGGCCAGAAGAGTGCCTGCCATGGTGAGATCAGAAGCACGCACAGCCAAAAAGAAATACAGCATCAGACCCCAGAAAACCATACACACCCCACAGTCCAGCATCTTGCTCTGCTGAGCCAGAGAGCTGCCTGGGAATCCAGGACTCTGGCCTTCTCCCCCAAGTGCAGGGAGCCCTCCCTCTGAAGTCCCCTTAATCTAAGACATCTTCCAAAAGAAAAGCAATTGTCTTAAACTCCCAAGGAATGCCATCAAATAACCAGGAATGATTAATCCCTGGGAGAGGAGAGGAGAGGGGAGGGGAGGGGAGGGGAGGGGAGACTTTTTAAAAAGTCCTTATCACACCCAGACAGTTTTCATGAATTCGTCTGTGGGAGACTTCATCTGCCTAACAAGACACTCTGTTCTTTCTCAGTGAGGTTCTGCAGCCTGCCTGTAATTTGTTGCTAACACCCTCCCCCTCACACACACAAGTACACGTCCCTCTCCCCCATAAAGAGGGGATTTAAGCTTCGACCATCTGGCTCTTCTTGAATCTTCAGATTTCGTGTGGTCCCAAAGCTCATATGTATGTCATTGTGTGTGTGCATGTGTGTGTGTGTGTGAGCGCACGCGCGCGCACGTGCCAGGGATTGAACCCAGGGGTGGTTAACCCCTGAGCCCCATCCCCAGCCCTTTTCATATTTTATTTAGAGACAGGGTCTCCCTGAGTTGCTTAGGACCTCACTAAGTTGCTGAGGCTGGCTTTGAACTCGCCATCCTCCTGCCTCGGCCTCCCTGGCTGCTGGGATTACAGGCATGTGCTCCACCATGCCTGGCTAGAGAGGGTCTTCTGATGAGGTCAACTTCCTGCCTGATCCAAGGGCTTGTGGACACAAGAGGGGACCCAATCAGATAGACACTTCCATACTCCTGCTGCTAAGCAGGGGACCCAACAGAAAAACTAAAACAGTGGACAGAGGGAGCACCCATCAATAGTAGTGAGCAGAGCTTGGACAGGGGAGGACCTAAGGGAAGGAGGACATTCCAGAGATCATAAAAAGAACAGGCCAGGGCTCCCCACCAGATGCCCAAGCTCAGGGGCCCCTTCTCTCCGGAGAAGTCTGTCTCTGTCACTTTTGCAGTAAACCTACTTATTGCTTGCTATCTTTTTGTCCTGTTCTTTGATTCTTTGCTGAAGGAAGACAAGGAACCCAGCACCCTTAGGCGGTCACACTAGAGGAGAAAACAAACGTGCTCACTTAATCATTAATCATCCACTACCAACGACCTTTCTCTCTTTTTTCCCTCATTTCCTTTCTCTGGTTTTCCCTGGAGTCTCCAGAAAGGGGTGAAGCCTGCTGTCACCTTGATTTCAGCTCAGTGAGGCTTGTGTCAGACTCTGGCTTCCAGAACTCTATATTAATAACGTGTGCATGGCTTTAAGCCGTCAGGTTGGTGGCCCTTGGTTCCAGCAGCCTGGGAGATCTTTTCTCTCTATTTCTAATTCAACATGCTCTAACCCAGATCCAAAATCATTTCCCTAAACCACTTCCTCTCCCCATTTTCCTTGCTCTTGATCAAGAGGTTTCCCCCTATTCCATACCTAGACTCATTTTTTTTTTCTGTACTGGAAAAGGAACCCAGAGGTACTCTACCACTGAGCCACATCCCCAGCCCTTTTATTTAGTTTTTTTAGAGACAGGGTCTCGCTGAATTTTTTAGGGCCTCACTAAGTTGCTGAGGCTGGCCTCGAACTTGTGATCCTCCTGCCTCAGCCTTCAGAATCACTGGGATCACAGGCGGGCACCACTGTGCCCTATCAGGCTCAGTATTTTGATCCCCTCCTTCTTTGCTGTCCCCCTGTCCTGCATTTTACCTTTTTTGTGTCCCAGGCTCACTTCCTCCCACCAGTGCCTCCAGCAGCCCCTCCCCAGTCCTGAGGCTCCAGCAGGTGACCAGTTCCTTAACCATCTTGTTCTACCTGCCCCACCTTCACCCTGTGACCTGGGAAGGTTATCAGCATGGGGTTGACTATTTAGGGGGGGGTTCATTTCTTTTTTTAAGACAGGTTGTGGTATTACACACACACACACACACACACACACACACACCAGCCTCCGTGCACAAGCCTGGACAGCTGTGTGGGGAAGAGGACAGGCACACCCTTCTTCCAGGTTTGGGCAAGACTATACACTCATTTCCTCCCAAGTAAGCACTTAAATCAAACTTCCTCCTTCCTGGTGAGATTGTTTAACAAAGCATGAAAAGTTTATGGCAAACCTCCTTCAAGAGCGGCAGAGCCTGGGCAGGGCCAGGAGCAGCCATCCACTCAGCCTGTTCCAGGTCTCCACTTCGAAAGGAGAGTGCTGGACGGCCCCCAGGCCCCCTGAGGCTGGACTCTGAGCATCAGAGTAGCCATCAACTGGGTCAGGGACCCAAAGCAGCAAGTGGACCATCTCACCTTCTCCACCAAAACAGAAAAGCAGGATCCCGGGGCCCTCAGGTATGTCTCTGCCCGAATGGAAAGGGCTGAACCTCTTGTTCCATGGGATTGAGAGAAAGAATCATGGAGGTGGAGAGGGTGGGAAATGGAATGTTCAAGAGAGAACATGAATGTGGAAACCACATAATTGAGAAGATTTCTGAGGTCAGACTGAGGAAGTCAAATAGCCTTCATCAGGGGAGGCCAAGCCCGTCCATGGATGGTGGGCTGCGTGGAGAAGGATTCCGAACATGGGATCCAGCTCGGTGCACGGGTGTGCTGTCATTGATTAGTTATGTCTGAGAAGGACACGGGAAGGAGATAGGGGGCACATAAGCCAGAGATGGGATAACCCACACGGTGGGGTTTCTTCCTTCACCACAGGACCCCTTCACGTATATTCATTCATTTATTGAATCAAAAGCACACATTCTGATCATCAAGTTTTATGAGTCACACAAATAAGAAAAAAATAAAAAAGGGAAGTATGTTGTTCTTTGGCTACAAATCTCATCTTTCTTTGAAAAGTCATGACCAAGGTGCATGGTCTTGAGAGATTGTCTTGGCTGGGTCATGTCAGGCTAGTCCCTTCCATTCACTAGGACTCAACTTTCTCATCTGTAAATTGGGAGCAATGATCTGACCATTCACCATGAATCCCTGTAGCTTTGTCTCGGCTTCTGTGAGGACAATGAGAACTCGTGGACGAGCCCCTATTATATGCTAGGTTCCCTTTATTTAGTAATGTACTTCATCTGCTCATCGCCTCTGTGAGGATAGTATCCATAATTATTCCCACTCTGCAGATGGAACACCAAGACACTGAGAGATTTCATAACTTTCTCAGGAAACCTGGCTGCAAAGTCTGTGCCCTGACCACAGGCTACGTGGCGGCCTCTAGGATGCAGCTGATTTCTAAGTCCACGGCTGGAACCAGCCAGCCTGGTTCCCCGGAGGGATGGTCCTTGGAGATGGTTCATTTAACAGGCACTGATAGAGCACTTCCTGCCTCTCAGGTAATGAACTTGCGTGGTGATGAGCAACTCGGGGTGACAAACACTCACTGTTCCAGCCAGAAAGCAAAAAGCCCCAGAGAGTCATTTCCAAACACCTTTGACCTGTGACATGGAGTTATCCTGAGAGTCACGCTGGGTCCTTAGAGAGGAACAGCAGGGGGATTATGTGTTGTTCACAGGGGAGAATCAAAGAGGAGGGGGAAGAGGGAAGAAAGAGGGGCCTTCAGGGCCAGAGAGGGAAACAGCTGGTGGCGGGAGTGAGGTGGGGGGGGGGTCCCCAGGCCAAGCACCGCCATGGGGAACAGGCTGGTCTTGCCTGGCTTTGGTCCCAATCCATCCTTCCGTGCCTGCTGCTGCGCATCTGCAGGTTTAGGGGTGTCTCCGTCTCGAGGTCATCATGTGCATAGTGCTTCCTGTGCCTAGCCTGGTTGCCTAGCAGCCGCCCCATTCCGAGAAAGGCCCAGCTGGCTGAGGCCTAGCTCTCATGGGTACCTCCATGGGGTGGAGGACACTGAAGTCATGCTTTGCCCACCTTTTGAAGCGCTGGGGATGGCTGCTCCTCCCAAGGTGAGACCAGCCCACCTCTTATGGCAGGCCTGGAGTGGGTGGCCTGGGGTGCAGGCAGCTGGTGGCCCCACCTAGCCTGGTGTCCCACGGGCTGGGCCCCCCTGGAGAGGGGGCCAGTGCTTCCTGTGGTTTGCTGCCGATTCCTTGCTTTTGGAGGCTCTAGAAAGCGGGAACTCTGCCATTTGCTCTCCCGGGGTGCAGCCTGGGGAGACAAAGATGTAGAAAGAAGTTAAGGGGGGGGAGTGGCACCACGACCTTTGACCTCTGAATCCCAGCTTGGCCTTTGCGCCATCTGTGACTCCTCTTTTGGACTTGTCTGCACCTCCCCAGTTATCTCAAAAGGATGGTGGTTAATGGTGTTGTTCCTTGGGGGACTGGTGTGAATTTTGACTGAGGTGAATTTTGAAAACAAAAGGGTGCATAAAGGACCTACCATGAGATCTCACACCTAGTAGGTGCAGAATACAGAATGGTGCTGTTGTCAAAACAGAGTGCTTACTGTGTGCAGGCACTAGGCAAGGTACTAGGCTTTTAGAAATGATGAGATGGTGTCTCAGGAAGTTGGGTGGAGGCCAGGCACAGTGGTGCAGGCCTGTCATCGTAGCGGCTCTGGAGGCTGAGGCAGGAGGATCACGAGTTCAAAGCCAGCCTCAACAACTCAGTGAGACCCTAAGTAACTCCGTGAGACCCTGTCTCTAAATAAAATATAAAAAAGGGCTGGGGATGAGGCTCAGTGGTTAAGCACCCCTGGGTTCAATCCCTGGTACCAAAAAGAAAAAGTCAGTGAAGGACTGAGAGGAAGGGGTTGGGGGAACAGCGTGAGTGAGGTGTGCACGCTCCACGTGATCACGATGACAGGGGTGACTCTGTGTCTCCAGGGTGTCGAGTACTTTCCATGGATTTGCTCATTTGAACACAAAAACTTTCCATGGCAGATCTTGTTGTCCCCATTTTACAGATGACTCCTGAGCCCTAGGTGAGGTGACTAACTTGCCCCAGGTGGCAGGGCGGGGACAGTACCGAAAGGCTTTGTGGCCAAACATTCCAGCTCCAGAAAGACCTCACAGGCTGCGTTCCACAAAGCAGAGGGGCAGAGGTGAGGACTCCTCTGGTAGAAAAGGTCACATGCACAGAGGCATGGAGGTAGGAGCCTGGTGTCAACCCATAAGGTGACAGAGAATCAGGACAGAGCACAGTGCCAAAGACTTGGATCTCTGTGCAGGCACGGTCGGTTCTGTTAGAAGAATATTCTGGTAAAAATGTCTGCCAGGAGTGGTGTGGTTTCAGCTTGGGGAAGCCATCAGGAAGGAGCCTGTTGCTGAAGACACAGAGTCAAGAGTCGCCCTGAGTTTTTGGGTCCCCTTGGCGTTGACCATGTTCAAACCACAAGAGGGAAGGGAGAGGGCGGGAGTTGAATCGGAGACTTTCTTGCAGGTGTAACCGTGGTTTGAAATGAAAAATCCTCTTGTCTCAGGTAGATCTTGGTCCAAGTGAAAGAAAACAAACTCAAACTAGCCCAAAAAAGAAGGACACGTGTGGCACATAGAACAGAAAAATCCAGGGATAATTCTGACTTCAAGCAAGGCTGAATCTTGAGGATCCACAGACATCCACCACACCCTCATCCTCACATTCCGACTTCATTGAACTAGTTATAAAAGTCACAAGTGGCCATGTTGCCTACTTTTATGACCCAGGGGTCAATGACAGTGACCCAGGACAAGTTGCTTAATCTCCATAGGCCTCAGTCTCCTCACGATTACTAAAAAGAGTCTGCCCATCAAGATGGGTGGGAAAATAGAATTCAAGGACACAGCACTCGACATTGTCCAAATAATAATGTTTATTAAAATAATTGCTATCGGGCTGGGGTTGTGGTAGAGCGCTGGCTCAGTGGTAGAGCGCTTGCCTAGCATGCGTGAGGCCCTGGGTTCGATCCTCAGCCCCGCATAAAAAATAATAAACAAAATAAAGATAGTGTGTCCATCTACAACTAAAAAAAAAATTATTAAATAATAATTGCTATCATTATTATGATTATTTTATGACTTTTTCTTCATCCGTGAGATCTCTGGATCTTATACTTTCCTAGGAAAAACTTATCTCCCATCTGGGCTTGGTAGCCATGCCTGTAATCCCAGCAGCTCCGGAGGCTGAGGCAGGAGGATTGCAAGTTTGAGGCCAGCCTCAGCAACTTAGCAAGACCCTGTCTGTAAATAAAATACAAAAAAGGGCTGAGGATGTGGCTCAATGGTTAAGTGCCCCTGACTTGAATCCCCAATACCAAAAAAAAAAAAAAAAATGCACCTTCTAATGAATTTCCAAGACCCCACTGACTTCATTATGGAGGCCACCATCTTTACTAATCCAAGAGGCCAAGATCTAAGATGTCTCTGATGGAAAGGGAAGGAAGTTTCCACTGTGCAGGTGCGTTAATTCATGCTTCACCTGCTGAAGTGATTCAGAGAGCCCCGCAGCCGGTCTGCTGTGGCCAGGGGTTGAACCCAGATGCCCTGGGCAGCAGCCTCACCTTGACCCGACTGGCACTCTGGTGATGTGCAGCCAGACTCTCAGCAAAGAGAATTCCAGTGACCTCAACTGGCCTCCAGGGCAGAGGGACCAGAAGGTGTCTAGCACCCTGAGATTGTCCCCATCGCCTCAGACAAGGGAGGGGACATGGAAAGGAACCATGTGTCTGGATAGGTGGCTTCTGTTTTTCTCCGGTTGCTCTGTTGGACTTGATGTCACCCATTCCCCATTTGGAGAACACCCTCTTCTCTCAGCTCAAGGGGTTTGGGGAAGTTGAGGACACTGGGGCATCCCTAAAGGAGACACTGCCACCTGTCACTGATGGAGATCTTCCTCTGTCCCACATGCTGGGCACATTCTTATATGAAATATTTACTACCTGGTCCTTCACAGAAAACTGCCATCCCAGGCTTGAGAGGAAGTGAGTAAAGTAGTTGAGAATGTGCGCTAAGCCAGGCACACCTGTAATCCTAGAGGCTTGGGAGGCTGAGGCAGGAGGATGGCCAGTTTGAGGCCAGCCTCTGCAACTTAGTGAGAACTTGTCTCAAAATAAAAAATGAAAAGGGCTGGGGATGTGGCTCCACGGTTAAGCACCCCTGGGTTCAGTCCCTGGCACCAAAAAGAGAAAAGAAAAGAAGAAGAATGTGAGCTAAGACAGACTCCCTGGGCTTACTTCTGAGGTCCTCTCTTCCTCTAAGTTATGGGACTTGACCACTCTGGGCCTCATTTCCCTTAGTGTCCTCCCTGAGCTCATTTCTCTGATTACATTGGTTAAAATAAGGAAGAATCCCAGGATAGTGCGTGGCCCGAGTAGCTGTCACCTTCTTCTGGGAAACGCCCCGGGGACTTGGGGATTAAAAGCCCTGAGACTCTTCCTCCTCTTGGACTCTTCTTGCCTTTCCTGCTCCACAGCTTTGCGTGGCCCCTACCATTGGCCAGGGCTGGGGGGGGGGGGTACAGAAGACCAATAAATAAATTAGAACAGTGCATCATGGAAATAATGGGCTAATTTCCCTCCAAAATAAATGTCACTAGAACAAATTGTTCCCGCTGCCAGCCCCATCGTTTGCGGATTTATTTGCTGTTTATCTCCCTCTGCATTGGTGACATGATCAATAATTGCCTGTAAAGACCAGGGGTTTCTAAGAAGGACCACTTAGGGAATGAAAGACGGCCTCTGCTTCCTCCGATGACTTCCCACGGAGCTGCGCCCCGGCTCCTGTCCTTGAGACGCTTCTCCGTGTGTGGCCCTGCAGGGGTCAGGATGCGCTTCTTCCTGCTTCCTGGATCCTTCTGCACATAGTGGCCTTGAGGCTTAGCGATGCCTGGCCCAGAGCCAGGCAGACACAGACAACTCAGTGAGACTCTGACTCTAAATAAAGTACAAAATAGGGCTGGGGATGGGGCTCAGTGGTTGAGTGCCCCTGGGCTCAATCCCAGGTACCAAAAAAAAAAAGAAAAGAAAGAGAAACAGAGGACCAGTATTGGGGCAAGTAAAAAGGCCCAGGGACGCTCCAAAGTGTGGCCCACTCACAGCCATATCCCTCATGTCTGGAGCCCCAAATGCTCCCCACAGATGCTCAGAGGAAACTTCAGGAATGAAATCCACAGCTGGCTGTGTGGCCTTAGACTCGCTGCTTGCCCTCTCTGAACTTTAGTTTCCATCTCTTATCTGGTGGTTAACCCTCCTCACCTTCCAAGGCTCTGCAAGAATCTCCATTCCTTCCAAATATTTACACTGTACTTCCTTGATCCTCAGAGTAATCCTAGGCTCGCAGGACACCAGGCCCCCTGTGGAAAAGGGCTTGGGGCTAAGACACAGGGCTGACTTGCAGCCAGAAATCAGAAAAGGGCTGGAGGGGACAGTGAGTGCCCGCTAAAGCCTCCCACCTCAGGAAGGTGCAGCGTGGCCCCTGTCCCCTGCCATGACCACCTCCCACCACCATGACCCCCTCCCCCCACCATGACCCCCTCCCACCCCCCGGGAGCCCTCTGGTCTGTGCTGGACTAGCCAAGGGCAGTAGGACTTTCTCCTGGACCTTTACAACCCGAATAACAGGTTGTGACAATCTCCGGCTAGAACAAGGAGAGAAATTTTTCAGGCCTTGGTGGCTGCTATGGGAATTCTTGCCCCACCCTGTGTACCTTTCCCAGGTGTTGTTCCCGCCCACCCCCAGCACCCACAGGCTGCCAGAGGGGGCTGGTCCAGAGAGCAGGGAGCCCTGCGGGAGCGAGGCGGGCAGCGGGGGACTCAGCCCGGAGGGGAGCCCTCAAAGTCTAGACAGGACCTGCCACGGCTCCCCCTCCCCACCCTGAAGCCACAGTCCTGCTCAGCATGGTTGTGCCAGCAAGAGGCTAGCCCTGCCCAGGTATGTGCTCAGGACCACTCTGTCCCTGGGTCTCCCCTCTGTCTCTGAATCAATCTCTCTCTCTCTCTCTCTCTCTCTCTCTCTCTCTCTCTCTCTCTCTGTGTACCTATCAAGGCTCCCTGTTCTCTCCACCCCACTCTTTTTTTTTTGGTACCAGGGATTGAACCCAGGGGCGCATGACCACTGAGCCACATCCCCAGTCCTTTTGTGTGTCTTATTTAGAGACAGGGTCTCACTGAGTTGCTTAGGGCCTCCTAAGGCTGGCTTTGAACTCACGATCCTCCTCCCTCAGCCTCCCAAGCTGCTGAGATTATAAGTGTGGGCCACGGCCTTTCCTATCCGTTCCCACAGCTATCCTGGTCCCTCCGTGTGTGGGGGACTCCCAAGAATGTCCTATAAGTCTCATCCAGGGGGCCAGGGATCCTGGGCTATAGGTCACATCCCAAGCACTTCCAAAATCTTAATATACTTTTGTATCTGAGAAGGGGGGGGAAAAAAAGTTGGTAATTTGACTTTCAGGAAGTTAAGGTTCTACAACAACCTGTTTGTGGGTAAGGCCTGGTGACAACTCAGACTTACAACCTGCCAGACCTCAGAGGAGGAAGGTCAGGCAGGGAGGGGTGCTTTTGTAACTTGCAAAAGGAAAAAATGTTGTTATTTAAATCAGAAGGGCTGATTCAGCTGAGGGTTTCCGCGTACAGGTTGGGAGGCCCAGGGGGGCTGAGAGAAGTGTGGGTACGGGGAAGGGGGGCTGTTGGGGCCGGGCCAGGGCTAAGTTCAGGTCTCCTGGCTCTGACCCGAGTCCTTGGTGCCTGGACTTTGGAGGCCATGTCTGATGGACTTTAGGATAAAGAAGATTCTGGGTGGGAAGGGGCCATGGGAGAGGAGTAAAGTCAAGGCAGGTGGATGGAGGCCACCTGCTGCCCGAGGCCTGGGGCCTGGGGCTCTGAGCTGTCTGTCAAAAGTTTCAGATCCGAGTGCAGCACCCCCAGCCCAGTCACCCCCAGGCCTGCCCTCCAGGCTCTTAAATCTCCACGGACACCAGGGAAAGCTTTCAAAGCTGTGGAATCATTCACTGGTCACAGCCCAGCAGGACTCCGGAAACTGCCCAAGTTCAGTTTCGAATCCAGTACCAGCCGTGGGACCCTGTGGGGAGCGTTGGGGATTCAGTAGCAGGAGATCTGCATCCCAAACCTTGGCCTCACCTAGGCAAGCTGCATGGCCATAGGCTAGACCACACGGCGCCTTCCTTACCTGACCCCAGGAGATGATGTGGCCACAGCGCCCCGCACAGACTCACCTGGAGAGGGTGAGCCCCGAGAGTCTTCATTCTGGTACAACAGCCAAGACCTCGGAAGCTCCTACTCCCTGAGTAACTGGGCCGGTTCCTTCAATATCTCTGGGCCAGCTGACTGGGATGGGAGAGTGGGGGTCAGGAAGTGCCAAGTGGATGGAAGGACTGGTGGATGGTAGAGAGGAAGGAAGGAAGGATAATGGATGGATGGATGGGAGAAAGGAAGGATAATGGATGGATGGATGGATGGATGGATGGATAGGTGGATGGATGGATAAATTGATGGATGGAAGGACAAATGGATGGATGGATGAATAGATGGATGGATGGATGGAAGGATAAATGGATGGATGGATGGATGGAAGGAAAATGGATGGATGGATGGATAGGTAGTTGGGTGGATAGATTGATGGATGGAAGGATAAATGGATGGATGGATGGATGGATGGATGGATGGATGGAGGATGGATGAATAAATCAAATCCTCCAAGGAACAGCGCCTATCAGACCACTCTTTCCTCTACTTTCCAACCTCTGCACTAAAAAACTTTGTGATGAGTTGGATCTAAAATTCCAAGGTCATGAGTGGGAGGAGGGGGTCGCAGAGAGGGAAGGAGGAGCATGTCTACCCTGTTTCTGCGGCAGGTGGCAAGGAGACACCCGAGGGGTGAAGATTCCCTTGACGAGAGGCCCCGGTCATCTTCAGGGTCTAGATGCCAGTCTCTGATTGGACCTTCTTCTCTCCACAGGTTTAGGCTGACCCCAGGCCTCTGGGCTCCTGGACACAATGAGAGCCACAGGTAGGAGGGGGGTCGAGGGTGCTGAGGTTAAGGATGACATTCATTTCAGAGTCGTTTTTTTCTGACCTCCGCGTCTGCCCGTCCTGGGTTCAAGGTGGCGAATCTGTTGTCAAAGGCCCAGGTAGAAACGCAGGGGGAGGCTGGGAGAGTGTAGACGGAACTCCCTGCCGCTGAGCCGGAAAACTTCCTGACCATGGCCCCAGGTGCTGGGACCGCGGGGGGGACCCCACCCTGGACACCTGGTGGGAAACTAGGGCCAAATATCTACCTCCTCCAACCACAGGGCCGGACCCGAGTAAGGTGAAGTCCTCACTCTGGCACTGTACTCCCTTTGTACAGGTAGGGAAACTGAGGCACCAAGCCTCACTTGTATCCCCCGGGCGACTCTGAGGAGCGAGGAGAACTGGTTGAAGTCAGCTTGCTTCTCAGGGTTCCAACCCCACTTCTGTCACTCACTAGCCAAATGTCCTGGGGAAGCAAGGGCCTCTCTGACCCTCGGTTTCCTCATCTGGAAAATGGGGGTGATTGGCAGTATCAAGGGTTCGTGAGGATGAGCTGAGATCGTCAAGTATCTGAAAACTGTCAAATGTGAACTTATGCCCCTTGGGGGACACTGACTGTGGCCAGGATGACAAAGGATCCCCAGCCCACAGGATCCAGGGGGCCTCCACTCCCACACCAAGTACCCATGGGCTACTACAAGGCCACAGAGCTGAGTTCAGGGCTAAGGAGCTGACAGAGAGGGCAGAGGAGGGCCAGGACTGGACCTGGGCCTGGAGGGGTTTAATGCTGAAGGCAGCAGGAAGTTGAAATGGAACCTACTTTCAGGTCCCTCTAAGGCAAGAGGGTGGGACAGGGAGCTCTGTGTGGCTCATCCCCATGTGTGGGAGGGTCTCCCAGTGACCCGGTGGAGAGTCAGGGGACAGTCTGGCTATGGGCAGGGGAGGCCTGGGAGCTGTGGCTTGTCTTGGAGCTACTGAGCAAGTCCAGGTGTGGTTATCTGTGGTAGCAATTGATAGAAAATGTGGGAGGCTACTCCTACCCGCCAAGTCACTGTAGAGCGGACCTATTTTTATTTTTTTTTTTTTGTACCAGGGATTGAACCCAGGGGTGTTTAACCACTGAGCTACATCCCCAGCCCCTTTTATTTTTGAGACAAGTTCTAAGTCACTTAGGGCCTCCCTAAATTGCTGAGACTATCCTCAAACTTTCAATCCTCCTGCCTCAGCCTCCCAAATTGCTGGGATTACAGGTGTGCACCACCGCATCCAGCTGAGCCTACATACTCTTGATAAGTATGACGCCCCTCCAACAAACCATGACTTCAGCCTCCCATGACTGAGAGAGGGTTCAGACAAGAGAGACTGCCAGACCATGCGGACAGTGCCATTTTATTTTATTTTATCAGGGATTGAACCCAGGGGCATTCGACCCCTGAGCCACCTCCCCAGCCCTTTTTATTTAGAGACAGGGTCTCACTGAGTTGCTTAGCACCTCGCCATTGGCAAGGACATGGACATTATTACTGTGTCCATTCTGTGACTGACAGATTCCAGCACAGAGGCTGAGCTCCTGCTCCTCACACAGCACCATGGCTGCCTGAGCCCTGGATGCCACCGTCCTGACTTCCTACTGCAGGGCTCATCTCGCAGAGCCTGCCTCCAGTTCTCCTGCTGGAATTCTGTATAAAATGCAGATTCCCGCCAGGCACAGTGGCTCATGCCTGTCATCCCAGTGGCTTGGGAGGCTGAGGCAGGAGGATCATGAATTCAAAGCAACAGTGTGGCGCTAAGCAACTCAGTGAGACCCCTTCTCTAAATAAAATGCAAAATAGGGCTGGGGATGGGGCTTGGTGGCCGAGTGCCCCCTGAGTTCAATCCCTGGTACCCAAATAAATAAATAAATAATGAGGGTTCCCAGGCCTCGTTCCTAGAGACCGTCTCTGGAGATCTCTATGGAGCCCAAGAAGCTGGATTTTAAAGTCTTTCCCCCAGGGGTCACTGTGGGGACTGTCTGCCCAAAATCTGGCAGCACCATCTCACCATCTGACCATCTCATGTGTCACCTCGCGGTCCCACCGTCTGGTCTGCAGGGTGGACGCAGGGGTCTCCTGACCTGGTCTCCCTGGGGGGGGGGGTCTGGGGGGGTCTGGCGCCGAGGCCGGGCGCCTGGTCTCCTGGCACGGTCCTCTTGCTCTTGCAGGTCTGATTCGCCTCCTGGCCTTGGCCTTCGTCCTGGTGGCCACCTGGATCCTCCTTCACTCCTCCAACAGCTTCAGCACCAAAACCATCCGCCTGCCGCGCTGGATGGGTGAGTGGGCTCCTCTGCCGGAGGAGGCGCCGCAGATGGGTGCCCACAAGGCCTGGTGGCCCTGCTTCTTCTCTGCCACAGGTCTCTGCTCAGATGTCACCTCCCCAGAGGAGGCTCCCTGACCGCCCAGCCACAGCCGGGCTGCTCCTCCTGGGTCAGCCGGTCCCACGGCCTCCCTCAGTGGGCTCCTCGGCCGGGCCTCGCCCCCTCCCTGAATGCAGGTTACCTGGACGGCGTCCATATGTCTGTCCGTCTCCCTAGCCCCTGGCCCCGAGGAAGGGCCTGGTAAACGGTGGATAGAGGAAATAAAAATGGGTGGGTGGATGGATGGATGGACTGTCAGGTGGGGGTGGGGGTGTAGATGAGCCAGGGGAGGCAGGAGGCCAGCTGGCTGCGTCACATCAGCCTCAAGGTGCACGGATGCCCCAGGAGGGGGCGGAGTGTGACTTCGAAAGGGACTGGTGCAAGCTCTGTGGTGTGGTTGGTTGCACGTGTGTTTGAGAAAACCAGAGCCACCGAGGACCCCTCCATTGGCAGACTCCAGTGTCATCTGCAGTGATGACCAGGACAGCTCAGGGCTTCCCAAGACAGCCAGAAAGCAGTCACCCCGATTCTAACACGACTACCCCACTAGGAGGGTCTGAGGTCCTTCATCTTATCCAATTTTTTTTTTTTTTTTTGGTACTGGGATTTGAACCCAGAGGTGCTCAACCACTGAGCCCCATCCCCAGCCCTTTTTTGTATTTTATTTAGAGACAGGGCCTCACTGAGTTGCTTAGGGCCTCCCTAAGTTGTTGAGGCTGGTTTTGAACTCTCAATCCTCCTGCCTCAGCCTCCTGAGCCACTGAGGTTTTATGGGTTCTGTTCAGTAATTAAGTGCCTCAGAGTTCAACCTTTGGTAGCCCCACCCCCCCACACACACCCCACAAAAAAAGCCCACTAGTGTTCCACACTGGAAGGGTGACTTTCTTTGGCATCAAAGGCTCCTACCCTGGGTGCAAATACCCCCGTTTTATTATTTAACGCATTAATATTGAAGCGCATGTATTGCCATAGCACACATTATTTTTTGTTGTTATTATGTTGATAGATCATTGGTTTCCCTTGTAATCCAATCTATTTTATTTTATGCATTTAATAACTTGCAGTCTATTGGAGAAGGAAGTGCTAAGTATCTCAAGGCAAATGGGGATAAATCTATTCTGAGGGGGAGTTCATAGGCTTTTCCAAGCCAGCAAAAAGGATTCATGGCATAGAGATTATGAAATTAAGAACTCCTGATTTACCTGGAAAATTAGGGGTTTTTTTCTGATAGAGGAGTCAAACTCTAACTAGTGTCAACTAAACTAATTTCAAGGACCCACACCTGGCTTCAGGTGTGGCTGAATCCAGCGGCTCCCACAAAGCCTCCAACACCTGTCTCTCTGTATCCTTGGGCTCTGCTCATTGATACTTAATCTCTACAGGGTAGAGACGACTTCTGAGGGCTTTCTCTCCAAGGGAGGCACAATGACTACCAGATGTGCATCTGCACATCTTCTAACTTAGCAAAAAAGGCCCTCTCAGCCTCTCTCCCTCTTCCTCTTGCTAAGGGCCCAGGGAATATATCAACACAGGGAAGGACTCTGACTCCAGAGAAATGGCCCCACCTGGGTCATCACTCCTCCTGGGACCTTGAAGGTAGAGGCCAGGGACACACTAGGTTGAACAGCCCCCTTAAGGACCAGATGGAAAGTGCATGGATGTGTTGGACCCCCTAAAACAGGAGAGCTCCCTCCTTCCATTCCTAGAGGAGCCCTGTCCACTAGGACTTACCCCCAGTGTGAAGGGAGACCCCACCTAGAACCGCAGCAAGAGCTGAGACGCAGTACCAGATACAGTGTCAGGAGGTGACCGAGGTCCCTAATGCCCAGCACAGACAGTCGTCACCGCAGACAGCCACACAGTGGTCCCCAGGTGCAGGGTCAGCCCCTTACAGACCGACCTTACTGGACCCTCTCCACAGCCCCTGAGACCTCCATGACGGTCTCCATGGGCAGCCAAGGAAACTGGTGCTCAGAGAGGTTAGACATCACACAGGGTCACACAGCATGAGCGAGGGCCAAACTCCAGGGGGTCCCACAGGCCCGGCCCAGCCTGTCTGTAAACATGAGCAAGTCGCGTACATGTGTATGCCTGGGGGTGCTCCAGCATGTGTGCAAGTGCGTGTGCACATGTGTGTACACGTCCACGTATGTGTGTGTCCATGCATCTCTGTGTGCAAAGAGGTGATAGCAGCACCCGAGAGAGGGTTCAGACAAGGGGGACTGCCAGACCATGTGGACAGTGCCATTTTATTCTATTTTATCAGGGATTGAACCCAGGGGCACTCGACCACTGAGCCCCATCCCCAGCCCTTTTTATATTTTACTTAGAGGCAGGGTCTCCCTGAGTTGCTTAGTGCCTCGCCATTGTTGAGGCTGGCTTTGAACTCGAGATCCTCCTGCCTCAGCCTCCAGAACCATTGGGATGACAGGCCTGCGCCATGTGCCTGGTGACAGTGCCATTTTAAATTCCCTCCTCCCCATGCGCCCAGCACCCCCCACCCCACCCCAGCCCCCACCCCCTGCAGTCAAAGTGCTTCTCTCTAACCAGACTCTCTCCTCCCCAGGAGCCGAGGACGCCAAGGACATCATCGGTGAGTCCCCAGATCCCCCTGCTGCCCAGGGCAGGATGTTCCCTGCGGATTTTTCTGCAGGTCCCAAAGAAACCCAGGTGCCCAGAGCATGCCCAGCCGCTCCTCGGGGCCGGTGGTGCCTTCTGACACCCCCCAAGCCCTGTGGCAGGGCGGCCCCCGCTCAGCCACCAAAGGGACCGGCCCAGCTGTCCCCATTCTTCCTGGCTGGCCCCGGCCACACCTCACGCCTGGCTGGGGGCCTGCGGGCAGGTGCTGTGCTCTTCATCACTGTGACCGTGACCCAGGCGGGGCTGGGCAGCACAGGTTTGTCCCCCAAGACAAACAGGAGGCTGCTGACCATCCAGTGGGGTAGAAATGTCCAGTGTGCCGCTAGAGGAGGGGACAGTGCTCTGGGCTCCAGGAGGGGCACCCCCCACCCGGAGAGGGCCAGGAAGGCTTCAGGGGGGAGGGGGCCCTGCGCAGTGCCTCCCCAGGACAACGGCCCAGGTGAAGGGATGCCCGGGGCTCCTAGGTCATGTGCTCAGTGGGAAGAGGGCTCTTGGAGGGCAGAGCACTGGATGCCAGCCACTGCGGGCACTGGATAGGGCTTCAGCAAGGCCCTGAGCTCCCCAAGGGTGGAGGAGGTGAGAGGGAGGGACGATGACAGCAGTAAGGACCATCGGTGCTTCCTGGGTTGCAGACGCAGGTGCCTCATGTCATTCTAGATACACCCCTGCACAGGTGATTGAACCCAGGGGTGCCTAACCCCTGAGCCACATCCTCAGCCCTTTTTATATTTTATTTAGAGACAGGGTCTGGCTGAGTTGCTTAGGGCCTCACTAAGTTGCTGAGGCTGGCCTCAAACTTTCAGTCCTCCTGCCTCAGCCTCCTGAGCCACTGGGATTACAGGTCTGCTCAGCTTAATTATCTCCTTTCTGGAGGGGAGGAAACTGAGGCTGGGAGAGGTGAGATGTCCCAGCTGAGGCCACGGAGCTCTGGTGGAGAGTGGGAATCAAGCGCCCCACCCACCCACCCTGTCTGGCCCAGGTCCTCAATATCTCTTTGCATGAGGTCATACCCTCTAGGGCCTCCATCTCCCACCCTAACATGGTGGTCACGCTGAAGAGGGGCTTTTCCCAGCTGGAGAAGCCTGGTGCACTGTGGAATTACAGAGAGCAAAGATTATGAGAGTGAACACAAACCCCTCACCCTACGCCCTTAACCCATCTCCCCAAAGCCTCCTCAGTCAGAGTCTGAAGCAGCCACAGAGGCTCACAGGGTCTCGATGCAGAACAGACACTTAGACATCACTTGCTGGGGGAATGGCAAAGTCAAGCTCACGTGGGTCCTCCCACCCTGCCCACTCCCATGACAGACATCACTAATCGATCCCTGCACCCACAGCCTTTCCCCCAGGCCCTCAGGCAGCCTCAAGAGCTTTATCATCAAACTCCTACCACATAGGTCCAGTTCACATCTAGGAGAGAACCCGTTGGGCCACCCTGATATAAATCAACCCCCCGATTTCATAATTGGCCAAGAGAGCCGGAGAGATTTCTGGCAAGTCACTCGCAGATTAGCAGGAGAGCAGCCCCAGGTTCCTGACTGACCTCCCCACCCAGCCAGTGCCCCCCAGAGCCCCCCAGATCCAGGCTCTGAACAATAAATAGGCTAAGGTTCCCAGAGGGCTTGGGCCTCAGGGTTTGGAGCGGCAGGTAGAAGCAGCCAGAACCCAGAGAGCACATCCAGCCCCCAGAGGATGAGACCCCCAGGTGCCGTCTTCCTACCTCCAGCAGGCTGACCGTGAAGGCTTCAGATGGTCAGAAAATCAATTCTGGAAAAGCCTGCCAAAGCCCCGCTGTTGACATCAGGTTTATCAGGACTCAGCCGCAGTCGGTTAGGCTCTGGGCAAACTCCCGGGGCCGTCCCCAGGGCCCAGAGCCAACTCCACTCTCTGCACAGGTGAGGCCCTCTGGTCCCACCAAGAGCCAAGCAGCCTCTCAGGTGGCTGGAGGTGGGGACCCCAAGGCTCAGAGAAGAAGAGGACCTTCACCCTGAAGGCTTGTGCTTTATCAGCTTTTTCACGGCTGTGACTAAAAGACCCGACCAGAACAATTTTAGGGGAGGAAAAGTTTATCTGGGGGCTCAGGGTTTCAGAGGTCTCCGTCCACAGACAGCAGGCTCCATCCCTCGGGGCTCGAGGGGAGGCAGGACATCATGGAGGAAGAGTGTGGTGGAGGGAAGCAGCTCACATGGTGACCAGGAAGCAGAGAGAGACTCCACTCTCCAGAGACAAATAGAGACCCCAAAGCCACGCCCCCAATGCCCCCTCCTCCAGCCACACCCACCTGCCTCCAGCCACCACCCAGGTAATCCCATCAGGGATCCATTCACTCAGTGGGTTAAGGCTCTCACAGCCCAGTCATTTCCCCTCTGGACCCTCTCATATTGTCCCACACATGAGCTTTTGGGGACATCCCACATCCAAACCACAGCACCCTGTCCCCAGCTTCACTTCTCAGAACAGCCCTCCTGGGTGTCCCCACTCCCTGACCTGGCTCTCTGAGTGATGTGGCCTGCCTCGCCCTCAGGTATGCCCAGCAGGTGTGTGGACGGAAACCAGGAGAGAGGGAGCCTAGGAGAGGCATTTCTCTCCCATCATCGGGGCTCCCCACTTAGCAGAGGACCCCAAACCCAGCAGGGCGCCCCGGTGTGGGCAGCACTCCTTCCCATCAGCTCTCTAGCCGTGTGCCAGTGCCTTGTGTCCCAACAAAGGGGTACATTCTCCCAATCCACCGAGCGCCTCCCTCTGGTCCAGCAAGAGCCTGGGAGACCCTAACCACGCTGACTGCTTTGGCCTCTCGGCCTGAGCTCAGCCCAGGGAAGATGTATTGAGCTGCTCCCTGGGAGGCCCAGGAGCCACCAGGAGGATTTAACAAGGTCATAAACACAAAGTGCCTGCGCCACGCCGGGCACAGCAAGCCTCAGTGTGTGCTGGGGTCCCTCAGCAAGCCCGTGGGTTTGCTCCAAAGCACACAGTGGCAGAGCCACCCACCTGGCCCAGGGCCTGGGGAGAGTGGCAGCCCCACCCCGCGCTCCCTTTGAAGGTGACCCTGTTTATTCACCAGTCCCCCGTACCTCCAGGAGGTGCTTAGAGATAAAGCAGAACCTGCGGAGCTGCAAACCCACATCACTTGCACAGAGCCTGGTGAGGGTGAAGCCTCAGCATCTGCAGCTTGGGGTCCCCTCCTCATCTCTTGCCAAGCACAGTGCCCCCCACCCCTGCCAGATGTTCCCCCACTTAGGGCCTCACTAAGTGCTGAGGCTGGCCTCAAACTTTCAGTCCTCCTACCTCAGCCCCCAAGTCCCTGGGATTAAAAAGGTGGGTGTCCAGCAGGTTCCGAGCACCCAGCAGGAGGACCAGCACCGCCTGCCTACTATTCCCTGTTGTCGCCCAGTGTCTGGTGCTTAGTAGATGCTCAGTAAATGAGCCAGGGGGCAGGAATCACGCGGAGAGCAGCTAATAGGAAAGATTCAGTTCTCCTCATGGCTCCTCATGAGGCCCCAGGGAGAAGGCACCATGGTTACCCATTTTACTGATGAGGCAGTTGAGGTGCAGGAGTTTTAAGACTTCCCCAAAGGAACCCAGCTAGACAGAGGCACCCTACCCTCCAGGCTAGAGCCCCCAGGAGATGGCCAAAAGGGGCCTCGTGGAGCCCATGAGGCTGCTGTGGTCCCAGAGAGAGGTTCTCCAGGGAATCCCTTCTGCATGGTGACTGGTCATCAACCACCTCTCATCGTCCCACACGGTTATGAGGCAGCGGGGCTGAGGCTAGGGGAGAAAGTCAGAGATTTTATTCTGGCGTAGCCAGACACACAGCCAGGGTCCTGTGCCCCTTTATGGGGGTCAGCAGAGATACTGTGGAGCTCAAGAAGAAGCAAATCTCCCAGACTCCGGGATCAGAAGTCACCAAGCTTGTGCCTGAGCCTGCCGGGCTCCTCTCCCCCAGGTTCCTGCCCAAAGCCCCTGCCCACCAAGTGTCATCTGTTCCCTCCCCAGAAACCAAGAAGGCCAAGTGCGGCCTCAGCAAGCCCTGCCCGACCAACTACTTTGCATTCAAAATCTGCAGTGGGGCCGCCAACGTGGTGGGTCCCTCCATGTGTTTTGAAAACCAAATGTAAGTACCCGGGGTGGGGGGTGGGGGGGGAACCTGTGTTTCCTTTCTTGTGTTTCATTTATTCATTAGAAAACAGGGTACAGGTGAACAGGCCTGGAGGCCAGCCTTCCGTCACTCCTGGTGTGCCAATCATCCAGAGATCTCCAGGCCCACCCACCCTGCTTCACAACTTATCTCATTGACTCCCCCACCCCCTGGGAGGTGGGGCTGGTCTTGTCCCTATTGTTAAACAGAGGAAAGCCACCCGCCCCCCTCACCTGCCAAGCCAAAGGCAGAGCAGGATTAGAACTCGGGCCTACAGGCCACGCTGCTGGGCTTCCTCTGAGAGGGGAGGCCTGTGGGAAGGAAGGGTTCATGAGCAAGGCCAGGTGTAGCAGGCCCCGGGCGCTTCCAGCAGGTACAGTCAAGTCCTGCAACCAGAAGTTCATCCTCCAAAAGACGTCAAATGGGTCAGGATTCTGAACCCAAATAGAATTCGGTTCGATGAAACAAGGAACTTACCGGTTCCTGTGTCTAAAAGGCCAGAGGTAGCAGGCTTCAGGAGCAGCTTGATCCAGGGTTCAAACTGTCTCTTCGGGACTCCCTCTTAGGCCACCTGCAGCTCTGCTTTCCTACCTGTTAGCTGCCATTTTTTTTCTCTACTGAAAATGGACTTGTCTGTGTGGTTGGAAAGAGAGGCCACCCTCTGGAGTGACAGATCAGCCCAGCCTAGCACCCCACTGGGCAGAGAGTTTCCCTGTCTGAATCACCCCCTGCAAAAGTCCCAGCCTGGACCTCTGCTGGCCCAATGAAGGCGGGTCTAGGCCTGGGAGAGAGACATCAGCTCTCCAGGGGGCATTGGGAGACAGGGGTGCAGCCATTGGGCCCAGGAACTGGGAGGTGCTACCTGTGGGGACCAGAGTCCCAGACAAGGACCCCGCCTCTTCCCTGAGCAGGCTGTTCTGGTTCAAACTTGCCTTGAGCAACTCCTCACTGTCTAGCCCCAGCTCTGGCTCTCCGGAGAAAACAGAGGGCCCAGGTTGGTCCGTGTGTTTCCAGATGCTTCTACAATGCACCCCAGGGGCCCCCCAGAGCCCCCAGCACAATAGCAGCGTGCGTCCCCTGCTCAGGACCAAATGTTGCACCTTGTTCTGTTCTTTGTCGTTAGTATCATGAGTCCCGTGAAGAACAACATAGGCAGAGGCCTGAACATCGCCCTGGTGAACGGTGAGTCCCCCCCACACGCTCTGGGCTCCAGGGAGGTCGGCCTCTTCCTCCAGCAGATGTGGCTCACCCTGCGGCCTGGGGGGGCCTCCCGCAGACCCCAGGAGGGAGGCCCGTGGGACCCAGGGTCTCAAAGTCTTGCCACATGCCTCTACCCCAGGAGGATTCATTTCTCCTAGGAAATGGAACCCCATCCTCCAAGCCACCCCTGCCCAAACCGCCCCCCCTCCCCATGAAGCCTTTGGGGACAACCCTTCATTCATTCATTTTATTCAACAAATAGGGACAGCAGCTACTTTGGGCCAGGCCCTGCCAGGGTACAGGGGGGGACAGATGTGAACTATGACAGGCCCTGGCTGCAATCCCCCCAGGGTGACCCAGCTAGGAAGCTGGGATGGGGTGGGGGCGGGCAGGGGTAAAGAGCCACGTGGTCAGGGGCTGGCCCAGAGAAAGGTGGGCGTGGCTCCTTCCAGGCAGAGGCGACACTGCAGGAACAGGGAGGGAGGGGAGGGGCGGGGCCTGTGATTGACACCGGCTCTTTGTGGCGAAACCTGAAAGCGGGCAGAGAGGAGAGCCGGGGCTGGGGGGCTACTGGGCCTGGGAATGAGGAGCTAAGGATCCTGCTAAGTGTGATTTGAAGGTCAAGGCAGGAGGGAGCCCTCAAAGGCTTTGATCAGGGCCTGAGGGGCCAGCCTTCCATTCCAGAAATCTCCCTTCAGCTTGGAATATGGAAGCTGGAGGCAGGGAGGCCCTAGGGGAGGCCCATGGTCTTCATGATCATTCCGTCTCCAGCAGGGGATGGACAGGAGGCCAAATGGCAGCCATGCCTGAAGGCAGGACTTACAAAGTCAAGGAAGGACCCGGTGGTCTGGCCCCAGTCAAGCCTTCCTCCCTGCCTGCTGCTCTCAGGGAATGGGGGCCATTTCTCCTTAAGGGCCACTTCCTGGGACCAAGGTCAGGGCAGATGGGGAAGTGAGTAGGGTTTAGTCAGCTTTTTTACTGCTGTGACTAAAAGATTCGACCAGAACAAATTTAGTGGGGGGGGGGGGATTTTATTTGGGGGCTCACAATTTCTGAGGTCTCTGTCCATAGACAGCAGGCTCCATTCCTCGGGGCTAGAGGGGAGGCAGGACATCATGGAGGAAGAGTGTGGTGGAGGGAAGCAGCTCACATGGTGACCAGGAAGCAGAGAGAGACTCCACTCTCCAGAGACAAATGGAGACCCCAAAGCCACGCCCCCAATGCCCCCTCCTCCAGCCGCGCCCACATGGGCTTTGGGGGGACACCTCACATCCAAACCATAACAGGGTATTTGCTTACGAAGGAAAAATGCCAAGTTTGCGTGTGGTGTGACCGTAAGGCCCTGCCCTTTACCCTTGGAGGTAACCATTTTTCCCTTTAAAAAAAAAAAAAAAAAAAACTTGCTGGGTCAAGCAGAGATCAAGGCCTAGAGCAGAGGTGAGGGGCTCTGGCCAACTTCTCAGGAGCCCAGAGACTGGCTGGGGCAGGGAGAGAGGCAAGACGGCTAAGCAGCAACCCATCCATTCCTCACAGCCTTGGCTTCAGCAAAGGGGCTGCAAGAACCACAGCAATGTTTATAGCAGCTCAATTCACAATAGCTAAGCTAAGGAACCCACCTAGGGGCCCTTCAACAGAAGAATGGATAAAGAAAATGTGGTATATGTACACCATGGAATATTACTCAGCCATAAAGATGAATGAAACGATGGCACTTGCCAGCAAATGGATGGAACGGGAGACCATCATACCCAGTGAAATAAACCAATCCCCCAAAACCAAAGGCTGCATGTTCTCTCTGATAATGGGGGTGCTAACACACAGTAACAGGAGAGGAGAGAAGAATAGAAGTTCACTGGATTCAACAAAGGGGAATGCAGGGAAGAGACAGGAAATAGGAGTAGGGAAGACAGTGGAATGAATCCAACGTCACCTTCCCATGTTCCTGTGTGAATGCCCGACCAGTGAGGACCGGGGACCTCAACTGCCTTGGCCCCACCGTGGCTCCAGCTGCAGCTGACCTGGTGAAAACCGTGGAGTCCAGGAATCTGAACTTCTCTTCCCTGAAATGGGATTCCATCTGAGAGAATCCCTTTGCACACTCTCCATGAGGAGGCCCTTCCCTGCCCCTCACAAAGCCAAAAAGATTAAAAAAAAAAAAAAAAATCATACGTGACAAAGAGAGCTAACACCCGGCCCTAGCTGTTTCACTTCACCTTTCCCCTGCACTAGAATCCAGCCGTGCTCAGTATCTCCACTGACCAGGTAAGAACCAGGCTCAGGAAGGATAAGCAACTTGCCCGAGGTCACACAGCCAGATCCAGAGCTGAGCAACTCCTGATGGCAATCACTGAGATGAACCACCTCCTTCCTCTAGGAATGTCTCCAGGCAGGATAGCTGTGGGAACGTGCATCATCTCAGGGCCTGAGGCTCCTGGTCTGTGTAGTGAGCCACAACCTAAGATCCACAGTTCTTAGCAGCCCTTCAGTGGGCGGAGATGCATTTGAGTGCAGTTGATGCTCTGCACCCCCACACACCCCAATTCCAGAAAAAACCACCAATGTATAAGATCGCAAAAGGAGTTTCGGGAGTCCATGCCATCCCCCCACAAACACTTCCAGGGACCCCCCCAGGAAAAGCCCTGCGTGGACATTGCAAGGCTCTGAGAATGGGAAGGGCTGCTCTGCTAGCCGGCCGCTGTCCACCGACTTCAGCACGCCACCGTGCCTCCATCTCCTCTGCAACACCCCCATCTAGTGGTAAAAAGTGGGAACTGCGACTTCCCTCCAGAACATTGAGGTTCCGGGACTCTGGAAACTGAGTACCCTTCAGCCCCACTGCAAAGCCCTTCGCCTTCAAAGGCTGGAGGACTCGAGGTGCAGGTTTTCTGTGTAGGTGGGAGTAACGTGGACGATCGTCGTTATTTTTATTGTTGCTTTGCAGCTAAAATGCACCTTGTGCCTGTGCTGTTATACGAAACCTCACCTGGTTCCAACAGCCCATTGTACACATGCAAAAACTACACGACGTGAAGCCCCGTGTTAGCAGTGGGCAGGATAAAATTCAGACTCACGTTGGTTAGATTCTGTTTTCTTCCAGAGATGCCCAACCACTGTTTCTGCACTTCTCGAATCAGCCCAGCAATTTTTATATTTTTATTTATTTGTTTGTTTGCTAGTTGGTTGGTGGGTCCTGGGGATTGAACCCAGGGGCACTCGACCACTGAGTCTCATCCCCAGCCCTTTTTCATTTTTTATTTAGAGACAGGGTCTCACTGAGTTGCTTAGGGCCTCGCTAGGTTGCTGAGGCTGACTTTGAACTGGAGTTCCTCCTGCCTCAGCCTCCTGAGCCTCTGGGTTGATAGGCATGCGCCACCACCCCTGGCTTCAGCCCAGCAACAATTAAGCACCTAATGCGGTCCTACATGCTCTTTACAGGACCTGATTTTATTTGATCCTTATTCTATTTTAGGCTTTAGGCTCCCCAGGACCAAGTTTCCGCAAAGTGAGGAGGTGGAACAATTCCCATTACAGGAAGTAAGAGTTCCGTTCTTTTTACCCTCTAGGAACCACAGGACAGGTGGTGAGACAGGACTCTTTCGACATGTACTCCGGAGGTAGGCACCTCTGGCCACACTGACATTCTGGGGTGGGCTGAGCCCTGCCCGTGGGTGAGGTCCCCTGGGACCTCCCAGGCACAGATCCTGAGTCAAGGATTCCAGTGCACTGGTTTCCTTGACAGGAGATCCCAGGAAACATCCACAGCAGGGTGGGAAAGAGAAACAGGGAAAGAAGGCCACCCGCACAGAGTGTCATCAAGCCAGTGTCCAGTACACACCTCAGAGACTGCCCGGTGGGGCCAGGAGCTGGGTGTTCTCCGCCCTGACACCCAGAACTTCCGGCCTGTGCTCAGAGGGCTCCAAGAAATGACCATGCTGGGGCCAGACAGGCATGCACTGGAAAGGACGAGGACACAGCCCATTGTCTGTGCCCACTCGACCTCTGCCGGGAAAGCAGGACTTGAGTTCAAGGTCACAGGGAGGAACCTCTAGTGGACCCAAGAACAGGACTCCAGAAAGGACCTCCCTGAGGCTCACACCCTGCACCTTTCTGCAGAGGTCTTTTCCTCTCCCTCTGCAGGGTCATGCTTTTTTGAGCTTCTCTGTGCACAGGGTTGCCCCTTAGAAGTGACTGACCCCCTTACCTTTGCACAGCTAGGTAGGACAAGCATTGTCCCCGCCAAACTAGGATACCAGACGTCTAAGTTCCCGCCAGCAGCTTGACTTGTGGATTGATGCTTTGCCATCACCGTCTTCAAATTATATTTATTTATTTATTTATTTTTGGTACCAGCACTTGAACCCAGGGGTGCTTAACCACTGAGCCCCATCCCCAGCCCTTTTTTATTTTATTTAGAGTCAGGGTCTCACTGAGTTGCTCAAGGCCTCACTAAGTTGCTGAGGCTGGCTTTGGACTCGACATCCTCCTGCCTCAGCCTCCCAAGCTGCTGGGATTACAGGTGTGCACCACGACACCCAGCATGGTCCTCAAATTCTTAATAATTTTTTAAATAAAAGTCCCTCTGCTTTCTTTTTTGCCTGGACTTCACAAGTTATGTAGCAAATTCTACTAACAATCTGTGATTCCATTTAAGTGCATTTACTGTGTGTCCAAAGTTATTGCCACATTTACCTTTTACAAAGAAGCTATAACCAGGGCTATCACTCATCCTTTTTTGACAGATGTAGCCTCCCCCCCACCCCCCGCTTTAACCTCTAGGCCCCTTTTTCCCATACTTCAGCAGTTCAAGAGCCTCTTTCTCAAGTTGTGCTATATCCAGAATCCTACCTGCATTGCTATTACTTTCCTTTAGAGTGGCTCATATTTCTCCTTTTTGTGAGGTAGGATTGAACCAGGGATTGAACTCACAGGCACTCAATCCCTGAGCCCCATCCCCAGCCCTTTTTATATTTTATTTAGAGACAGGGTCTCTCTGAGTTACTTAGAGCCTCGCTTTTGCTGAGGCTGGCTTTGAACTTGAGATCCTCCTGCCTCAGCCTCCTGAGCCGCTGGGATGACAGGCCTGTGCCACCTTTCCTTTCCTTTTTAACCTAAATAAATAATATCTTCAAAGGAAACTCTATCATTGCCCTAAGCAGAAAGCCATTATCACTTACACACAGGGAAGGTAACTTTAAAAATAAATATAATGGAAACCAATTGGTGTATTTTGGAGCTCACAGCACCCCCCAGGGCCAAACCTAGGCCTGTTCAGCAGAGAGTTGGACAAGTTCGAGGTGGTGTTAGAGACACAAGATGAGCCTGGCCTCGTGGGCAGCAGGAGAGAGTAGGGGCCACCTACCTTGTTTGGGTTGTCAGGGGCCACGTGGAGGACCCTCCAGCTCAGCACAGACAATCTGAGTGTCAACCAACGTAGGAGTGGGTCAGAGATGTGCAGAAGGGCCCAGAGGTCCTGAGAGGTCCTCAGTCCCCTGGGGGAGACCTTTTACCAGAGGCTGTGATGTGGCTGCACCTCACAGGACCCTGGGGATTTTTAAACACCAGTGTCCACCCCAGATCACCTGAATGAGGACCCTCACAGCTCATGTTGTCCCTCACCGAGGACGAGGGCTGCGGCAAGCTCTGCCCCAGGACACTGCCTCCCCCTGGCTTCCAATCCTGGGTCATTAGGTCCCCAGGTGAGAAGGGGAATGAGGGGACGTCACTTCCCCGAGGTGAACAGCACCCGCTTTTCTTCCTGCCCACAGATGCCAAGCTCCTGGTGAAATTCCTTAAGGAAATTCCACGGGACACACTGGTGCTGGTGGCCTCCTACGATGACCCGGGGACCAAGTAAGTGGGAAACTCCACCTGCCCAGCCACATACTGTTACAAACCACCCTCCTGCCAGCTCCATCTGCTGGTGACCTTCCCTAAGGAGATCAGCAGGCAGGTAGGTGCACAGAGATGTCCTGGGAGGTTCAGCGACAAACAGGAAATGCCCCCCGTCCACCTACGGCTGGCGGGTTACTGAAATTGCAACGTGGTGATATATAATGCATTATTATACATACACATGGGAAGATACACCACATCACAAATGGCCGTGTAGTAGGGCATGGTGGCACACAGCTGCAATCCCAGAGGCTCAGGAGGCTGAGGCAGGAGGATCGCGAGTTCAAAGCCAGCCTTAGCAAAAGCGAGGCTCTAAGCAACTCAGTGAGACCCTGTCTTTAAATAAAATACAAAATAGGGCTGGGGATGTGGCTCAGTGGTTCAGTACCTCAGGTTTAATCCCTGGTACCCACCCCCTCTTCCAAAAACACACACACACACACACACACACACACACAATGGTGCAGAAAATATTTAAGGACATGGGAAAATGCTCGCCCTTTGTACTAAGAAAAAATAAATGGACTGACAGGTGCCAAGAACTGATCATTACATGGTCCCAGACAATTAGGTCGCTGAGTGACATCCCGGTCACCTTAGTCAATGTGAGTACCCTCTGTGAGGTTCACACAGGGACTGTGTCACCCGATAAGGCATTTCTCAGAAGGTGTCCCTCGGGAACCGGCCCCCTGACTGCTAAAATGTTGGCGATGGTTATGTCAAGGGAGAGGGCGCTGCTCTGCTTTTCAGTTACTTCTTTGTGACATCCTGTGAACAGGCATTACATTTGCAAACACCTCTCCCCAACCCCCACCCTTGGGAGAGAAAGTCTGGGATCCCTGCATCCTAAGCCAGGGGCGCTGAACCCCTGAGCCCCATCCCCAGCCCTTTCTTATATTTTACTGAGAGACAGGGTCTTGCTGAGTCATAGGGCCTCACAAAGTCGCTGAGGCTGGCTTTGAACTTGGGATCCTCCTGCCTCAGCCTCCTGAGCTGCTGGGATGACAGGCCACTGCGCCCAACTCCTGGTGCTCATCAAGCCATCCCACCCCCCCACCCCCGATGGTCCTCTCTGGTCCTCTGCAGAATGAACGAGGACATCAGGTACCTCTTCTCCAACCTGGGGAGCTCCTACGTGAAGCAGCTGGGCTTCCGGGACAGCTGGGTCTTCTTAGGAGCCAGAGACCTCAAGAACAAAAGCCCCTTTGAACAGGTGGGTTCCTGGCCGCCCCCCACCCCTGGGGGGGGCAGTGAAGGGCTTGGAGGATGCCAGGGAGGGATGGACAGACAGACAGACGGGGAGCGGGGTCGGGGCGGCAAGGACAGCCGCTGTCTGCGGACTTGGTTGTTGGAGGGAGTCTCCGTGCAGAGCCGCCGGGGAGGGCAGCCCCAGGCCATCTGCTCCCACTCAGGCGGGGCCAACAGGCCGAACCCCAGCCGCCTCTGCCACTCTGTAAAAGGTGGGTCATGGGTGAACGCAAAGGTGTCTAGAAATGTACCCAGAAAGAGAAGGGGAAGGAGGACAGAGGGGGAAGGGCAAGTGACAGGGAGGAGAAAAGCTGCCACCGGGTCCCAGGTGTGAGCCTGGCAAACCCCTCCCCCTCCCACCTCGGACTCCCCACCTGGAAAGGGACCAGAGGAGCCCCGGGTCCTCTCCCAAGCTCCCTGTGGAGAGCGAGCTTCTCCCAAGGAGGGGACAGCAGGACCCCCCACCCGAGCACGTGGAAGAAGTCAGGAAGGGTCCCCAATATGGAGTTCCAGGTCACCACCATAGGGTAGCCCTGAGCTGTGGCATCTGGGCAGTCCCCAGATGTGGAGTTTGAGGAGCACTCACAGGAGGAAGGAGGGAGGAGACAGAGGTCAAGGCCACCCCTGGAAATGCTGTGCCTTCTCCCCCTGCCAGAGGCAGCTCCCCTCTCTGGACATCCCCAGCTGGGAGGGATTCCAGGAACTGGAAAAAAGTGGCCAGGCCTTCCCTGGCATGAAGTGAGGACATGCACTGCTGCCCAGATCCCAAGGCCAAGGGCTAGTGGTTCTGAGATTCAGGACACTGAAGAGGGCAGACTCTGACCCGAGGGCAATAGGGAGCTATGGGAGGATTGAGGAGGAGAGTGGCAAAATCAGGTTGATGATAAGAAAAACTAGCATCCAGTGAGTCTTGCTCTGCTCAGGCACATGCTAAGCAAGATACGCACAGGCTCTGATTTAGTACTTAACCGTAAAGTCAGTATGATTGTTAACTCACAGACAAAAAACCAAAGGCTTAGCCGGATGGAGTGGCCCATGCCTGTAATCCCAGTTGCTCCAGAGGCTGAGGCAGGAGGATCTTGAGTTCAAAGCCAGCCTCTGGAGCCAGCCTCTGGAGCAACTTAGTGAGGCCCTAAGCCACTCAGCGAGACCCTGTCTCTAAATAAAATATTAAAAAGGGCTGGGGAGGTGGCTCAGTGGTTAAGCACCCCTGGATTCAATCCCTGGAACCAAAAGAATAATAAGAAGAATTTCTTTTTGTTCTTTCTAAGTAACTGTTTCAATATTATCAAGGTAGATTTTTCCATTTAACATTTTTCTTCCATAAGCTAAGCCTGAGCGTTTCAAACACAATTTTAACTGATTTCCCACTCTTTATATCTTTATGAGTAATCATTAATATTTCATAGTGCTTCCACCATTTACCACCTGGGTGGCCAGAGGCAGGGACTTTAGCTCTCTGTGCCTCAGTTTCCCCATTTGTGGAATGGCATGGTAACCATAGGCACTTCCTAGGGCTCTTGTGCAGATTAAATATATAATGTGCTTTAGAATGGCTCCTGTCAGCCAGGCACAGTGGCGCACACCTGTCATCCCAGGGGCTCCAGAGGCTGAGGCAGGAGGATCACGAGTTCAAAGCCAGCCTCAGCAACTTAGTGAGGCCCTAAGCAACTCAGCGAGACCCTGTCTCTAAATAAAATACAAAATAGGGCTGGGGATGGGGCTCAGTGGTCGAGTGCCCTTGAGTTCAATCCCCAGTACCCCCAAAAAAATCCATGGTGCCTGGCATACAGCAAGTGCTCAAGAATTGCTAGGATTATCTTATTATTCTTGTCCTTTGAGGTGTCCTAGAAGGGCTAACGGAGAAGTTGCCTCGGTGCCCTCATAGGACATGCGGGCAGTCACTGGGCTCGGACACCTTGGGCAACTTAGGGTCCCTCTCTGAGCCTCTGCTTCCCCATCTGTGAAGTGGGGCTATGGGGAGAATGCAGTGAGGAGGCCGAGCAGAGGTACCCCCGTGGGTCCCACGCAGTCTCCATCCATCTCTCTCTCCTCTCTCTAGTTCTTAAAGAGTAACCCAGAAACAAATAAATACGATGGCTGGCCGGAGCTGCTGGAGCTGGAGGGCTGTGTGCCCCGGAAGGTATTCTAGCACTTCCTCGCCAGGGGCTTGAGGGAGCTTCTTGCTGACTTGGGACCCAGAGCCCAGGGACACTGCGCCGGGCAGCGACCTCGGAGGAAGAGGAGGGAGCCACCCGCATGGAAGGTCCTGGCCGTCCTCACGCTCCGGCTCCCCTCCTGCTGCACAGCCAACACCCCCATGGCCCTGCAATGTCCACCCTGAGACACGTCCCCCTCCCCAGGAACTGCAGACTGCTGTTGGTCCCAAGGAAGGACCGGCTGCCCACCACACTGGACCAAAATTAAATGTTTGGGGTTTTTTTTTTTTTTTTGCTGGTTTCGAGTGGACTCCCTGACCCCTCGAGATGCCTCCTTTCTCCCTGGGATTGGATCGGTCCAGACTCAGCTATGTGGGGCCGTGGGTGTGGGCAGGTTGGTGACAGCTTGGGATCCACCAGTCCACAGCTGGAGTGGAGCTGGAGTGGAGCTCGGCTTCATAGGGGTTTCCTTTAGGCATGAAGGAATCCTTGGTGCCCAGGGTATTGTGGAAGATGGACAGGAACAGGGGAGCCAGAGGAGAGGACACAGATTATTCACAAATTACTATTTTTGTTTGTGTAAAGTTTTTTTTGTTTGTTTGTTTTGCTTTGTTTTCCGGTACCTGGGATTGAACCCACAGGGGTTTAACCACTGAGCCCCATCCCCAGCCCTCTTTTATATTTTCTTTAGAGACAGGGTCTCACTGAGTCACTTAGGGCCTTGATAAGTTGCTGAGGCTGGCCTTGAACTCCCGATCCTCCTACCTCAGCCTCCCCAGCCTCTGGGATCCTAGGTGTGCGCCATTGCATCCGAGCTATCCTCTTGTTTGTAGAAGAGCTGGAGGAAATCCAGAGCTGGCGAGGTTATTGAAGGGGGAAGATCTGGGACAGAGTAGAAAGAGCGGGATTCAGGGGAGACGTCCTGCCTGGGCTTGGTTTGGGTTCCCGAAAAACCAACCCCAAAACAAGAATCCAAGTGCAGATGGTTTATTCAGGAGATGATTCTAGAAAATAACCAAAGGGGATGAGGGTAGGGAGACAGGACAGGAAAGGAGGCCGATATAAATGTCGTGTCGTCGACCCAGCTACCACTGTGGGCGACTGGCGCTCCACCCACCAGGAACCTCTGAGTCCTGCAGAACACGCACCCGGACATAGCCTAGTCCACGGGGAGGGAGCTGGGGTATCTGTACACCAACACCCGCCCATCACTTGTTGTAGTGACATCAATTCCTGGGCACTTCTTGTCTGCCCCATGTGGGGAAGAGTGTGGCTCCCCAGTGAGCCCCTGGACAAGAGATGCCATGCCAGCCACAGGTAGGCTGCTGGACACACTGGGCGGGGAAGACCCCAGGGACACGGTCCCAGAAGATCCCAGTTCCCAGGCTCTAGATCAAGTCCTAGAAGTGGTCGTGGGAGCAGAAAGCATGGTGCTGAGCCCCCAGAGCTGTGCCAGGAGACGGCGAGTGTGGGGGGAAGAAGCCCTCAGGCCACAAGGGTGTGGGACAGTGTCGAAGTCCTGGGAACGGGATGGGCTTCAAATGTGCCAAAGGGACTTGGGGTAGAGAGCAAACCTTACCGGTGTCCCCAAGGGAGTGCGGGTGGGGGGGAGGGTCAGTCCTTCATAAACCACCTGCATCCTGAGGTCGGTGGCTGGGGCTCCCTGGGTGGGCCTGAGCCATCCTGGGTGGGGAGACAGAACCGCAGCTCTGCAGGGATTGTCACTAAAGGGTCCAGCTGTGCAGGAGGAAATGCCCAGAGGGAGCCAGCCCAGTGGCTGTGAGAGAAGGGGTCCTGGAGGAGGCTGCATCCCCGTGAGCCCTCGGGGATGCCTACACGCGGCCCACCATGGAAGAGCAGGAGCAAGATGGAAGCTGGACAGGCCTGGAAGGGGCAGCGGGTGGGTGACAGGACCAAGGGGACAGGGTGAGCACAGACCAGCCTTCTGAGCCAGGCAGAGGGTCCTGGACGATGTCCTAAGTCAGTGAGACACAGAGATTAAAGCTGGGGATGATGTGACCAGATCCACATATTAAAAAAAAAAAAAAAAAGTCCTGGCAATCATATGGAAAATGGAGGCAGGGAGGCCAGTGAGGAAGCTGCTGTGTCCTCCAGGGACAGAGGATAGTGGCCTGGGCCCAAGGACATGGGCATCAGAAAAAAAGGGGGGGCGGGGCCCATGCCAGAACTATTAAGAAGGTAAACAGATAAGATCTGAGACTGACAGTTCTCATGCGGTACGCCAGCCTCCAAGAACTTCTGCAGGCTAATGGTGGCCTCAGCTCGCTCCCGGCCATCGGGCCCCGCCCCCAGCCCCAGAGAGTCCTGTGCTCTTCCCTCCGCCAAGGCCACTTTTCCAAAACTGTAAGTCTGATCCTCACCAGCAGGTGGCAGCCCGAGACAGAAAGGGAAGGGCGGCGAGGCTCGCCTACACTGGGCTCTGCAGAAAGAGAAGTGGGTATCTGGACTTGCCAGTGGGCAGTGGGTGTATCACTACTTTTTTGTTTTTGGTACCAGGGTGACCCAGGGGCACTTAATCACTGATCCTCGGTCCTCTTTTGTATTTTATTTAGAGACAGGGTCTCGCTGAGTTGCTTAGGGCCTTGAAAGCTGAGGCTAGCTTTGAACTTGCGATCCTCCTGCCTCAGCCTCCCGAGCTGCTGGGATTACAGGCATGCGCCACCTCGCCCGCTCACTGGTATTATTAATAGTGACATCATTGCCTCGCTGCCATGGAGAAGTCCTGTTTTATTGAGGCCCTGCCCAGAGCTTTACATGAATTACCTCCTTTCAACCTCATAGCCTCATGGGATAGGAAAACGAGGTTCAGAGAGGTCAAATGACTTGTCCAGTGTCACACAGATAAGGACTGGAATCCCAGTTTGCCTCCATCACTACTTGAAACAGGTCCTTCAGATCTACCTGGCCCTAAAAGTGCTGGGAGGTAAACAATGTTTCTTCCTCTTCTCTCTCCTCCCCTTCCCCTTCCTCCCCCACTCCATAATCCTGCTCCTCTTGAAGGCTCTCGAAGATATCTGAAGAGTGCAGAGACCCTCTGGGTCAATGTGCTCAGCCTGCACCAGGATGGCTTTGGGAGAGAGGGACCGGGAGTGGCTGGAGGGGTTTTTAAACCCTCTCACACTTGTAAGCCTTGCTTCTTTCCACAGGGTTGTGGGTCAGAAAGGAGTGGACACTCATACCCACTTTGCAGATGGAGAAAGAGAGGCTAAGAGATGTGCCCAGACCACCCAGTGAGATAGGGCAGAGAGGCATGGGGACCTCCTTGGCCATCCACCACCAAACACCATCCCATAACTCACCGGGGCCAGTGTGTCAGGAACCTCGTCCACACTGGGTACTACGCTAGGCTCCAGGGCCACGCTCATCCCTCCTGTCACACCACGGGGTCTGGATGTCACCTTGAGACCCTAATCCTACCCAGACTGGGCTTCAGAGCCACTTGAGAGACCCGGATTTCTGTGCAGCTGATAGGTCGTGTTTCCGCAGGGCTCCAAGCAGATGGGGGAACATTAATAAATGTGTAGCACCCCCTTCTCTCCTCCCACCCCACCTTGAGCAAGCTGGTGGATAATTATGGGATGGCTGCCCAAGGAGTCTGATCTTCAGGGTTGACTTGGAGCATGTTCACTACCCCAGCTGACTGCCAATGTAGCCATTGCCCTTTGCAATCTTTCAAGCTCTCTCCTTTCTAAAGGGGAGAAGCCGTGCGCCAGCCCCGACTGCAACAGAGAGCAAAGGGGTGGAGTCAGGCGAGGCAGGGGGTGGGGCCAGGCAAGTCAGAGGGTGGGGCCAGGTGAGGCAGAGGGTGGGGCTAGGCCAGGCAGGGGGTGGAGCCAGACGAGGCAGGGGGTGGGGCCAGGCGAGGCAGCAATTGGGGCCAGACCAGGCAGGAGCTGGACCAGCAAAGCAGGGAGGAAGAAGCTGCGAGTTTGTCTGGCTGGAGGGGTGCTGGGAGTCAGAAGAAATATAGTAACAACAGTGACCAATAAAGTTAATCATTGTCCTGTGATGAGCTCCTACAAGAAGTCAGGGCTGTACTCCGCATTTTGCATACTTGGGGTATTTCATTTCATCCTGCATCTTTTATTTGTGGAATGGTTACAATGTATCCCTCGCTGTTCTAGACCCAATAGGTAAACTGACGACCCAGAGAGACCAGGTCTCAGCTTTTGTGAGACGACCATTCCAGGCAGGGGAGAGAGACCATAAACCCAGAAATAATATCATTTCCATTGCTAAGTGGTGAGAAAGAAAGAAATTAGCAAACAGAGAGCCGGGGAGGCTCCCTTGCAAGGGAGGTCAGAGAAGGCTTCTCTGATTTGAGTCCAAAGGAGAAAAAGGAAAGAATCACATAAAGGTCAAAAAATGAGCCAAACGCAGTGGTGCATACCAACAGCTGGGGAGGTTGAGGCAGGAGGATCGCAAGTTCAAAGCCAGCCTCAGTAATTTATCAAGGTGCTAAGCAACTCAGCAAGGCCCTGTCTCTAAATAAAATATTTTTTAAAGGCTGGAGATGTGGCTCAGTGGTTGGAATTTAACCATTCCAGGTTCAATTCCCGGTACCAAAAATTTTTTTAAAAAATAAATAAATAATAAAAAATGAGGGTGGGAGGAAGGACATTCAGGCAGCAAGAACAGCAAGTGCAAAGGCCCTGTTCTGGGAGCCACAGGTGTCGTGGCCCTGGAACTATCAGGGAGAGAAGGGAGCAGAATGAGGTCCAGTCGATGGCAGAGCTTGCTGGGTCAGCCCTGTGGGGAGGGGTCAGGCTGTGTTCTGTTGGCCTCCACCAACCACTGCCATGTAATCAGTCCTCTGTGTGCTAGTGGACAGGGAAGGACGGTGAGTCTCCCCGCCCTCACTCCTGGGAGAGGGTCTTGTACTTTCAAGCACACAGTATTATTAACAGAGCGTGAACAGCAGCGCCAGAGAATCGCTGTTTTCCAGATGCTCTGCATGGAGCTTCCCTGGAATTACTTCATTTCAACCTCATTGCACCATGGGGGGAGGGGTCATCTAGCCCCCTTTGGTCAAGCATAAGATCACAACCCAGCAGGGGACAGGGTCCTTAATAGAATAATGGCTTCAAGTGCCCAGACCTGGCCCTTTTCAATCCTGTACAGGTAAATGATATTCTCTCTCCTTCCCTCTCTCTCTTTCTCTCTGACACACACACACACACACACACACACACACTCACTAAGGCACAGAGAGGTCAAACCATGTCCTAAGGCCACACAGCCATGAGGGACAGAGCTCCAATTCAAGC